GTAATCCAGATCATAGATCAGAACTTGGTCTTATGTGAGACCCCAGGTGATCTCACAGGAAGCTTCTAGAAGCTGAGCCTTTCTTTCTATCATCAAAATGTTGACCCATGTTTATATTCTAATGTACTGCACACAGTCCTCTCTGACAACTTAACACACAGTTCAGACACTATTGGGCTATTTCTTCAGCTCTAAAGGAAAATATCTGCAAAGCTGCTGCAACACAAATTAACTTCTTTGAAATTGGAGTAATTTGTCATTACAGTTTACTCTGTGTGAGTATTGATTTACTATCTAGTTTTTTAAATCTTTATAATACAGTTTTCCCATCCAATTTTCTATTTCTCAGGTCTAAGTAAAATTAGTGTTCATCAAGAGCTCTCATCCTGCCACTTGGAAACTCTCTCTGTAGCAGGGAGAGTACTGGAAAATACCTCTCAGAAGGCCTGTATTTTAATTCCAGCCTCATATCTTTCTAGCCATTAAATAGGGAAGGATCATCATCCCATATTTGTAAAATGGGCACAATACTTGAATTGCTCATTTCAGTTTTATAGAGTAAATACATGTTTTAAACCCAAACTAGTCATCCTAGATAAACTGTATTGACTAAAAACAAAAACAAAAAATTATATATATAAAATACATATTTTAATTATATATAAACAGATAATTAAATTATATATAAACATCTGTGAAAGTACACATACATATGCACAAACATGCACACATATATATGAAACATGAGAAATCTATTTAAATGTTTTCATTATATTTTACTATTTAGATTATGTTCCATGATTTGCATCTATTTTTATTTTTACTTTAAAAATAGAGTCAGCATTTACTTTTGGAAGCCTTAATTATAACTAAAATGGCTATAAGCACAAAGTTCATTTCATTCGCATGGAGTCTCTATATAACCATTAACATAAATGCTATTTCTACACATACATTTGATATAAAAATTAAAGAACACTATTGAATACATTTAAAAACCTTATGAGATTACTTTCTTTGCTAAAAAAGGAAGATCTTACTCCTCAAAGATGTTCTTTCTACCAAGAAATCAAAATGTACAGGCATATCTTCTTTATAATGAGAACTTGGAGCTGTCTCTTTTAAGGGACTCATGCCCAGATTCAACTTAATTGTTCAAGCAAAAATTGTTTAACAGCTGAAATCAAAGAGAACATAATGCAATACAGTAAAATTCTTAAAGTTTGCCATTTCAGATATCAAAAGGCATACATGTGTATATTCATTGCTTTAGATGCTCATTTTCAGCTGGTTTCATTTAAAAAAAATAGAAATCCTTCAGCAATGCAATAGGACACTCATTATAAATGTTGTTTTCTCCTTGAGTGATTTCAAAACTAAGGTGAATTAAAAATCTTTTTATTTTTAAAGCAACTCGCTCTTTTATGTATTTTTTAAGAAAAGTTTCTAAATATTCATTACTGTTAAAATATTGTGCAAAGTCCAAGATTAGGCCAAGAGAGGCCTAGACAAGAACCACATGGTTGCAAACAGGAACTCTTCACTGTACATTAGGATTAGCTGCACTGAAACCCCAGCCAGACCTCATGGCCATACAGGGAATTGATAATTCCTATGATGAGTCCAAAGACATCTGACAGAGCATCACCTCACACAATTAGAACTGTGGGGGAGAAAGACCACAGGCTTGATTCTTTATTTCAAAATCTAGTACCTGGAAACTCTTCCTCTCTCAAGATAAAGGAAAGTGTGTATGAGAATGCACCATCAGCTGTAGAGTCCTGCATGAATATGAAGCATTATTCCAAGTAGGTCAGGCTCTGATGGCACTGCTTTAGTTTAAATTTTGGTAGTGGGGAGACAATGGTAGTTGGTACAGATGAAGTTGCCAAGTTGATTGAGAATTTTAGTGATTATTCATTTCCAAATGGTCACTGTGAACTCAGTTATGTTCAGTTCAAATACTGAAATTGCAGCAACCAGAAAACAAAATGAGACAAATAAGATAAAATATTTAAAAAGGTAAAATTTCATGATCAATAACTGTAATATATTCAGAAAGAAGAGTCACACTTCACACTGAAAAAGGAAATAAGTATGACATGAAGAACATAGATCAATCTAAATAGCTTAATATTGAGCAAAACAAAACCTAAGTCACAAAAGAGAACATACCATGTGATTTAATTTGCATGAAACTCAAGAACAGCCAAACAAATTAATTATAGAGATTGAAAATAGAATAGTTGCAGGAGGGTTGTGCTGACAATTGGAAGGAGGCTGGAGAAATTCTGTCTCTATTAGGTACAGTTTACATGGGTGTACACCTGTGCCAAACTCCTCCAATTCTACATTTCAGATCAGTACTTTTATTTTTTTAAATATTTATTTCTTAGTTGTAGTTGGACAGAATACCTTTATTTTACTTATATATGTACCTTTTACCTCAATATATTCTTATGAAGTAAAAAGATGAGCTTTCCCTTTTTTATCCCCCATCACCTTTCTTAGTCCCTGAGGAAGCAAAGTTCTTCTTCTTTAATTTCTATGAATATTGACCTAGATTTTAGGCTGCATTAGTGCCACATAGCCCTTTGAAACTCACAGCAGAAACTTCCCTGAACTAGGATCTGTCTTCCGTGAGCCCCTGATCCAAGAGCTTCTGCTCACTCCAAAAGCAACAGGGCATTGAAGAGACTGATGGGGCAGGGGAGGTAAGAGGAAGAGGGTAAGAAAGAGACTAGGAGGCTTTTCTAGCTGTACTAAAAATTTTCTGTGGAGCACTGGTAAGCTAAAAACAATCATGAATAATTCAGAGCAAGTCATTATGTCAGACTAGAAAAGGGAAGATTTTTATCTTGAACAGGAAAGATTATTTTGCATAAATGGTCATTGAGACCAAAGCCAAGTAAAAGCACTTTAAAACACATGCCTTGTGCTCAGATATCTGATAGATATTCTAATTTAAATTGGCATGACACATGAATTAATGTCACTTCCATGCCACTTTCTGTTCCAGGAAAGTAGCACTGACTCTCCAGCACCAGCCAAACAACTCTCCAAGGACAGTCTGCCATGCATCAGCACTAAGTAACATACAAAAGGTATGACCCCAGAGAGCTTGTGTCTGAGTAAAGAATGCCACAACAGAAAATCTGGAGAACACAGTATGGTGCTAATTGTGTGTTGCAGACCACAATGACCACTGAAGAAGTATAGCTACAGGGCCATAATCAGATAAGGAACAAAGGAAGCATTGCTTTCTTGATTTCTACTTCTCTGCTCAATCTTACACACCATTGTCAGATCTATCATCCCAAAATGCAGGCCCTACCACATTATTCTTTAGGTCAAGCTTGAGCCACTTCCCAATGACTTGTTTGGTAATCTTTATCCTAAAACAACACTGACCTCCTGGACACCTTGTCACCAACCTCCTCTCTTCACTAAAGTACCTGCAGTTCTAGACAGGCAAGATATAATGTGCAGCAGCTTGCTGTAAAAATATAGAGAATATAAACACCAAGCAGGAAAAGTACAAAAGCATTTGAATTACAATTGGGAAAAAATATATGTTGGTAAAAAAAAAAAAGCATGTGGTCCAGTCTACCTGGTGAGATACCACACAACATCACAGAGAGACACAGAGTTCTCGCCCTCGTTGCTGTTTTTCTTTCCCCTCATTATTTCTTGCTTTTCTCTTTGAGGCTAATCTTGAATCTACTGCCTCTGAGAATCCTGCCAAATCCCCTCAAATCAATGTATTCTGTCTTTTCAAGTTTCATAGTTATGGCAATTACATAATTCATTCTTTTTAAAATAATGTTTGTGCATAAAAATTTACTATTAAGTAGAAAGTTCCTTAAAATTGGGTTTTTTTAAATTCTGTGCATATGGTAATAAAATTAGTAGGTGCTTAGTACATTTTTTCTATACTGAATTGAAATTGCCCCAGGATATAAGATTTTAAAGTATTCCATGGGGCATTTATAATAAATGTGAGGGAAGAAAGACATGCACACATGAAATTTTTTAAAAAATTAGTTACACAACAATTTAAAAATGCCAAGACAGTATATGTGGAATTGTCTGCTGAATGGTATCATAGTAAATGGTATAAGTAAGATTCAGCTGAATATGAGACCATGGAGAATCAAGCTAGACAGGGAAGACTGGGTGAAAGGGGACCTGAAGCAGGAATTGAGTCTAGACACATAGGATGTTAAAGGAGCTATTTTAGGAAAGATCTGATGTGTGATCTTGTCATTCACCTTCCCTCTCTAGGTGAAGTTTCTCTCATGTATGTGATGGAAATATGTAACTGGATAATCTCTGAAACTCAATTTCAATAATGTAAGTAAAGACAATACATGGTGTGTTTGAAGAAAATATGTCATAGAGGTTGAGAGTGCAGACATAGAGGTCAGACAGCCATAGTCTCGGAAATGTCTACAACTTCTTTAAACCACAATTCCTTTCATGTATGAAATGAGCATAGAACTAATGATGCATACCTCATTGGATTATCAGAAGAATTAAATGAGACAGTGCATGAAAGTACCTTGTATGGGATTTAACAGAGTAAATTTTCATTAAAATTTAGCTATCTTTTATTATTGAAAATTCTTAGAAGATCAGAAACCCCTTTAAGGATGTTTAGAGGTGACTATGTGAAAGCCATCTGATTTAAAAAATAGTCTGCAACTCATCCCAACTCTCCCATCCAATCTACACAAGGAGAGAAATGTATGATGGCAGTGAGGGGTGAAAAAGGTTGAGAAAATGTCAGAAATACAAGTGATCTACTACAGTAATATTGTTCCCACTCTTCCCCATGGAAGGGAGTGTGCTCACTCCCCCAACCTACCCAAAGCCAAATGAGTGGGCCTCCAAGAGATTCAGTGAGTACATAAAGGTAACTGATATCTCATCTCATGATTGAAAATAAATTTATATAGACTATTAGATTATTTGCCTTCCAAATCTTTTTGAGCTGAGAAAAAAAAAAGTGGCGGGGAGGAAGGTAACAAGGGGCGTAGTTTTGCTCAATTCAAAAGTCCACCACAATTTGCCAAAACAAGGCTGCTGCATGAGTTACTATGGGTCAGATAAACATCAGTAAAGAGGAATTGCAGGCCAAAAAAGGAAGAATAGTCCAGAAGCAGGAAGCTATGGGGACACTATTTGGTAAGAGACCAAAGAGATAGGTCCAGAACACATCTTCTACAAGAATCCAAGCCTCTACTGGACACCTCCAAAATTCACAACTTTCCTTCTAGAACTGGGAGCCTTGAACTTAGAATGTATTGACCGTGAATTAGAGTTACACAGAGAAACAGGGACATCCTCAGAGAGAATACTACAATACTGACCACTAAAGAAAAGGAGACTGCTCCCTGTTCTTCTTGTTCCTTAACACATCAAAAGATCTAGAACCACAGGAGGAAGGGAAAAGGAAGACAACAGGAGGCAATACTCTACCATCCTAAAGATCTTCTAGGGCATGAAGTCCATGGAAGGGGATGAAAGAGATGAGAGTTTAAAGTATTTTAAGAACTTAGAGCAACCAAATAGCCAAAAAGACATGGAACTTGATGAAGTTATCATTTAGAATTTTAACTTGTTAAATAAAGTGATTAGAGAAAAGAAGATGATTTTCTGTACATGCCAACAGTTTTAGTTATAGTCAGCATTGGGGAATAATGAGAGATAATGTTGAAAATGTAATTGAGTCTAAATTTTCAGAACCCTGAATTATTGGCACTTGATATGTATTCTGAAGGTAATGGGCAATATTTAAGTTTTGAGGCCAGGTTGATATACACCTTTAAAAGGATTAATCAAAGAGTTCTGTGTAGGACAGATTAGATCATGCAGAGCCTAGAGCTATGAAGACCAGCAAGGAAGTTGTCACAATAATTTTGATGACTTATAGTCACTGGAGCCTACACCAGATTGATGACTATTGAAATGGAATATAAGGGACAGATAGCAGTGATTCTTAGTCTGCAGGATTTTAAAGATCCTGACAGCTATGCAAATATAGGAAGTAAGAATAAAAGATAACTGTAACTTGCTTTTTAGTTCTTAAAGCTACATCATGATTACCATTGACTACTACCTCCCCAATCCTCCAACTCCTTTCCCAAAAGAAAATAATATATACTATATGCTATGAACAGATTGGTCATTTCTACTTTTCAACTCATTGAAAACTTCTGCACTCCCTATCAACATCTTCTTCCCAGAGGTGCTCTTAGTATCTGCACTAATTTTCCCTTTCCACAAGAAGAGAGCTGGTGCATTGTGGTGGAAATTACTAAATATGAGGAAAAGGAGGCTCAGAAGGCACATGGCTGACTGGGAGATTGAGTTCCAGAGACATGAACCATGAGCCAGATTTCCTGGATCTTACATCAGAGTTCATCACAACACATCACAGTAGTTATTATTCTTTATGGCTTCTCCCTAGAAGGAAGATTTTTTGGCCCCATCTACTCTATATATTCTCTGCAAGAACATTCTCCAATGTCTTCATCTGTAGCAACTAGAAACAAAGGAATTTTTTCCCACATGACATTTTTTAGGGGGAGGCAGCAGAGTGCATAATTATGAATTGAACAGTTAAAATTCAAATACCCGTCTCCACAATAATCCACTGTACTCCTTCCCACTGGTAGCAATTGGTGTTAGGATGGGCCATTCTAAGTACTTGCTTGAATCAAGGTGGTAGGTGAGCTTGAAGAAGACATGAGAAACCAATGTTTTCATTTTCTAGGGTTCACAATTTAAAAGCTGAACCACAACCACAGGATCAAGTCCAGAGAAACATGGTTATCTGCTGTCTCCTCCCCCATTTCATTCATTTATTTGCTCATTCAAAATATATTAATAAAGGGCTAAAATGTGCCAGTCTTGCTATTTTCTCAACTGGCATACAGAAATAAGCAAAACAGACCTCGTTTGATTATTAGGCCTGTATTGTTTAATATATCAAGTTGCTCACTGTGTCATAATGAAGATGTCAAAGATCTGATATAAATGAGTTGAAGTTGCTATGGAAGTGGTCAGCCAGTCTAAAGAAGGCCAGGCAATGTTTCCCAGAAATCAGATGCAAGCTGAACCTGAAGGAGAAAGGATGAGCCAGCCAAGTGGAATCAAAAAGGGATAAAACATTCTAGACCCTTACAAAAGCCCGAAGGCAAGAATCAACATAAACAGGGCAGAACAAGGTGTGAGCATGTAAGGTCAATTAGTATCCCTGGAGCCTAGAGAATGGGAGATAGAGAAGCTTGACAGAAAAAGAGCTGTGAGAATAAGAAGGTCATATAGACATCCTTAAAAAAAACAAATAAAGATCATTGTAAGTGAATTTGAGAAAGAAATCGGGAACAACACACATGAATCAAATTTATTGGAGGTGGGCAGATAATTTTAGAGGCTAAATGAGAAAAAAATTAGAAGAGAATGCAGCGAGCAGCTAGGAAACCAATAAGAGGGAATGAACAGCTCTCATAGTAGTAGAGCTGAGAAGAAAGGAAGAAATTTCAACACTGTTTTCAGGAGTGATTCTCAGGGCTTGGTCTTGATTATTCAGATAAAAAGTGAAGGAATTGAAGGAGTCATCCATGAGTAGAGATAAAGTGTGGGTCATCGAAAATGCTCCAAGTAACTGTTGTGTCACCTTGGTCAAATTTCTTAAACCTCTGTCTTTCATTTTATTCATTTGTAAAATGGAAATAATTATCAGACCCACTGAACAGTGGAACTGTGGATATTAAATGTGATAAAGCACACTGAAGTGCTGAACCATTGCTTGAAAAAATTTAGATGCTTGTATTAGTTAGGACATAGTCACATTTGCTGTAATATGAGCCTCAAATTCTAGTGGATTAAAAGGTGAGACAAACAAGCATGCTAGGCTTGGGCCTTTCTCTTCTTATAAAGTCACTAATGTCATCATTAACATAATTTCATCTAATCTTAGCAACCTATCAAAGGCCCCTTCTTCCAAATACCATTAACATATGAATTTGAGGATTAAATGTCCAACCCATGGACTTTTGGGGGACACATTTTTATCAGAGTATATGCTGTCGATCATATCTTTAAGCAAAGGTTCCTTAGAGATAAGTTTAACTTTAGAAAAAGCTGGGTGGTTTCTATTACTAACACAATGTTACTGAAATAAATATTAAAAATAGGAAAACATTTATCTCTCATAGTCATCTCCATTCTCCCTTTGGAAAATTTTCAGTCTGCATTTAAATTCTAAATTCCCTAACAAGATAAGCTGGTTCAAAAATAATTTACTATTTTTTATTATTTTATTTTGATGATGGGGATTGAACCCAGGGACTTGGGAATGATACATAAGCACTAAGCTATACCCAAAGCCCTATCTGGTGATTTGTTTTTTTTTTTTTTTTACTCACCTTTTAATGCCTTCTACCATGTTGTGATACAATAAGGCCCTCACCAGATGCCAAGAAAATGCCATTAATCTTACTATTGGGACTTTTCAGGTTCTAGTACTGTGAGCCAAATAAACTCCTATAAATTACCCAGTCTCAGGTATTTTCATATAGCAACAGAAAATGGCCTAAGACAGCATACATAGTAAAAATTTTATTTCAACAAAATTTTAGGTAGGTATTAAAATTTATTTTGAGGCTTATATATCAGGGATATAACAATAAGTTCTGCTTAAGATAACTATGTTTTCTAAAAAATCATCAGTGGTTTTAATGTTAAATTCCTCATTTTATGTGAAATATTCTATAGGTGGCTTGATATCATTCTGGTTTCTTTGTGCTGATGTTACTATTTCTGAGCCTTTCTCACTTGTATAGATAAGCAGCCTTCCAAAACTTTGAAATCTTTGTTGTTGTTGTTGTTTGTTTGCTTTTGTTTTTAGGGTATTCTGTTGTGAATTTTTGAACCTAAGCCCACTAATCTGACACATTTAGTTTGATAATTACATATGGGAAAAAAAAACCCAATACCTCAATGCTGCATGTCTCTGAGACCTTCATTGTTTCACTGTGGTAATAAGAATTATAAGAATTAAATAGAAATAAAATAACATCAAACCCTCCCAAAAATTCTAGTGGATTACATAATATATAAATGTGTGTGTGTGTGTGTGTGTGTGTGTGTGTGTGTATGGGTGTGGGTGTATGTATGTGTGTGTGTGTGTGTAAGCAGTTCTTAGAAGGCCACCTGGGTGGCTCAGGACTTTCAACCTTGCCAGTCTGTCATCATGGGATGATATACTCACCTACATGACCCAGGACAACTCAATATCAGCTGGTGAGCAATAGAAAAAAATAAAATGAAAAGGCATAGCATTG